AGTGCGGTGGCGTCAGCCCTCTAAGCTCACGAGGGCAGACCTCAAACTCCTGGCTGGTCATGAGTCAATCCTTCCTGCCTCAGCCCTCATCCTCCGAGTGCTGGGGACTACAGGCATGCGACCACACGGGATCGCCGCCGGGCGAACGCTAGATTTTTTTTCTAGATATATTAGTTGGGCCAATATATTCTTTTCATATTAATGCAGTAGAGACGGGTCTCGTCTTGCTGTCAGCTGGTTTCGAACCTCCTGAACTCGAGCAATCCGCCCGCCTCAGCGCTCCCAGAGTGCTAGGATTACCAGGCGTGTGAGCCCACCGCGCTCCTGGAACGCTTTTGCACCAAGTTTTGAATAGGCTAACAGTAATGTGACTGAAGTCAGTAGTTGGTCATCAGTATCTGGGCCATCCTGGATATGAGGCAAACAAAGCTCACTGAATTGCAAGATTGGGTCACGTAGACCAAGGGTACTGAAAAGCCAACCCAACCACAGCCTCTAGATCCGTCTTAAAACCCCAATAAGGACGCCGCCTCCCAAGCTTTCAAAATGGTATTTTCTCCGTGGCCTTTACTGAAAGAAAAGTCTCCAGTCTGTATCTACTAAGTGAAGGCTGCCCAGTCTGTGGCCATTCGAGAATGCGTCTTATTTCTCAGACTACCTGGGAACTTGGGGCAAAGTAAAAAGGTTCGCAACTATATGAAGGTAGGAGGATAGTAAGCAAATTCCATTACCACATGCCCAATTTTTTCTTAGTACAGTTTCGTGTTTTTCTGCCAAGCACCCAAAGTCCACAAAGCTATCTAGCTTTGCTGGTGCCTGACCAATGGTCTCGACGTGACATGAAGGGAAAAGGTGGGAAGAGAACAGGCCCGGTGCCACACAGGGCACACAATGTACGGATACAGGAATCTCAAGCCTAAGCAAAAGGGTAACTGGGCGGATAAAAGGGCAAAGCCCAGAAACTTTTCCGGCGCAGAGTAACATTATGGAGTGCAGCAAAAAGCGGGCAGACAGCCCCAAGACAGAAAAATGACTTCTGAAGGTGATCGGCGCGTCAGGTGTTCCAGATGACTCTGTTAAGTGGGCCAGCCGCGAGCTCGACGCGTAATCCCTCTGGAGCCCGGCCGGAGGCGCAGATTGCTCAGGTCAGATGCGGAGCCTGAAGCAAGAGCAACGCCTGTCTATATATTTAAATAGAAGAACATTAATTGGTCAACTTGGATATATAAATAGAAGAAATTTAGCCAGGCATGGTGGGTGCGATGCCTGTGAGTGGCAGCTATCGGAACTGAGGCCATAGGTCGCCTTGAGCCGGAGGAGTTTCGGAGGTTGCTGTGAGCTAGGCTGAACGCCACTCGCCTCCCCTCCGTAGCCTGAGAGCAACAACAGTGAGACTCTGTCTCAAAAAAACAAAAACAAAAAAAAAAAGAGCAAAATAATCTCTGGCACTAATCAAAGAAGTAAGGATAATAGATGTACTTGTCCAATCAGATCAATGGCTAAACCAAGAGAAGAATGCTCTTCTATCCCCAACGATAGGTTAAAGGGGAAAAAATTTACCTTTGTCACAATTGCCAAGTAACTCTCTGGTTAGAAACACAGGACATAGAGCCACAAACATAGGTTAGAAAACACTTCTGTGGACTTGCTGCAGTCGCCTCTCTGGAATACAGTCCCTGGGTCGGTGGCCTGAGGATGGCAATTTCATTTTTGGCTTTAAGAATTGGTGATCATGTACAAAAACATCAACACAGCACACACACCACAGAAACCCCTCAAGAATAGTCTAAGGTGCAGATAAGTCAGAACAGACCAAATAACTTGCTACTCTAAAAGTTCACTGTAATGCTGCCAGTGTAGTTAAAACACCCGTCTAGCAGCAGAGCTGGGTCCATAGAGAACTTTCCTCTGCAGTGAAAGTGCTCGCTCTCTCGCTCTCTCGCTCTGGCTGACTTGAAATGTGGCTGAATGCAACTGATGAACTGATGTTTGAATTAAATTTAACTTAAGTCTACATAGTTCTACTGGCTACCATGTCGTACAGTATCTAGACTGTGAGGAATATCAACACTCAGTGGTGACCCCAAAACGTTACAGTGTTCCCAGCATCCATAGTTGCCTTCGGCCTTTTTCTGTAGTCTGAGCCGCAGAAGCCACCATGGCCCTCGATGGCATGTCCGCCCAGTGGCCAACATGTCGCAAACACAGAAATGTTCTGCGAGCAGTTGTGCTGTAAGAGAAGAACAACACCAAATTACGCCGTAAACTGCGACCCCCTGATCAGCGGGGCCGCCACTCGCGCTTGGGTATGATCCGTGGTCTGCCATTTTATGGCAGTACAAACTTGTAAGCGCGAAATGTCAGCTGTTGCCTTTACCTGGACGAAAGCTCCCGCCGCTACCTGCTTATGTTAAAACATATAATGATTGTGGTGTTGATTGGTAAGGAATTACATGAGATAATCACTTCAAACAGTGCGTCCTAGGCCTGGGGTGTGGTGGCTCACGCCTGTAATCCAGCTCTCTGGGAGACCAAAGGCAGAGCCCGCCGGGCGGATTGTTGGGCTTAGGAGTTCAAGGAACCAGACTTGGCAGAGCAAGACCTGTCTCTATTCTATAAATAGGAAGAAAGGTAAGTTGAACTAATATATATTAGAAAAAAATTGTAGCCGCAGGCGATGGTGAGCGCCATGCACTGTTAGTTGTCCCAGCTACTTCAGAGGCTGAGGCAGCAGGATCGGCTGGAGCAGGAGTTAGGTTGCTCGTGAGTAGGCTGACGCCATGGCATCACTCTAGCTGGGCAACAAGCAAGACTCTGTCTCAAAACAAACAACAACAACAACAAGAAACAGCACCTGAACCGGGGCTGGCTGAAAGAAGGAAAAAAAAAAGAGAGAAAGAAAAAAACAAAGGACAAAAACAAAAAAAATAAAAAAATAAAAAAAATAAAAAAATTGTGAAACAGGGAAGGCTGGTGCCTTTCTGCTCTCTGGTCAACCCCCGTTCTCTCCTGGAGCTCTCCTCAGGTGATCTTTCAGCTATGTGTTGTGCCTAGAGAATAGCTGAATGCTAATAAGCTGTTATCTGATGGCTAGGACTCTGACCCTAGTGTCAGTAGAGGCCTTAAGAACCTAAGACACAGAATTCTTCTGGTGGGATGACAAGCAGTGGAATTTTTGGAACACAGGAGTATTTTAAAGGAAGAGATCATGTATGTGACAACCACAGAAATAATCATGAAACCGATTCTTCCAAATGGAGCCACTCCACATTTGCTCTGACTTTTGCTTCTTTGGAGTCAAGACAACTTGCTGTTGAGTACTCAGGTTTTACACACACAAACTTTGACTCGGAATTGGGCTAATGTCACCTAGTTAATGAATTTAAACCCAAAACTGTGTTGTTCTTAATTTCCAGGTAAGCGATGAAATGGTAGTGGAGCTCATTGAGAAGAATTTGGAGACCCCATCTTGCAGAAATGGTTTCCTTCTAGATGGCTTCCCTCGGACCGTGAGGCAGGCAGAAATGGTAGGTAGCTTAGTTTTTGTATCACTATTGTATGTAAGCTAATCTTGGCCCTTTATCTCTTAATTCCTTTGAAGGAGATGGGTCTGACCAAGCTTTGGTAGCTTAGGTGGGCCACACACTCTTTTACAGCTCGATGACCTCATGGAGAAGAGGAAAGAGAAACTTGATTCTGTGATTGAATTCAGCATCCCAGACTCTCTGCTGATCCGGAGAATTACAGGAAGGTATTGGTCTCCTGAAGGTCCCTTCTTTTCATGCTTCCTCAGAGCTTTGTCAGACTATGAGAACTGCTCTTGCCTAATCTCAGCCATGAAGCTTAGTGCCAGATTGGTTTTATTTGGTGACATCCACTGAAGTGGTGACATGGGATGGAGGTATGGAAAGAAGAGCAAGGGATTTGAAGTCAGACTGCCTCTCAGTCCTGTCACCTTTTAACTCTGACCTTAGGTGTGTTTCTTAACCTAAGAATTACTCATATGTAGAAGGGGTTTGATAACACCCACTTTGAGGAGCTGTTGTGCACATTAGATAAGACAATGTGCATAGCTGAGAGCCCTGCTCATAGTGGGTGTTTAAGAAATGTTAAATTCCTTACATATATATCTCCATTTTAGTGCTTTTTAAATTTGATTTCAGTTGGAGTTGCCATACTTTGCTGTAGGCTTTTTATTATAAAAATAATATAGCTATCTAGACAAAGTTTAGAAAATGGAGGAAAAATTTGCTCATAATATAGCCACCTTATTATTTGTGTGTGTGTGTGTGTGTGTGTCATTTTAACATGTTTGTTTCTCAATGTTGAACACAAAAGTGCTTCTGAACATGTTTGTTCCAAAAGACCAACACTGCTTTAGGCTACAGTTTTCGGTACCCTATTTCACTAATCACTCTACCATCTGCTTTGTGCCTTCCAGAAATATGTTGGAAGCTCTCATCCACTAATGGACCCTCTTCTCTTCTTTATCGTGGGCTGTAGCTTTTTTATGTCTTTGTCATTTTAATGGAGTCTCAGGACCATTATTTTTAATTCCTGCATGATATTGCACAGTAGGTAAATCATCATTACTTAATTATTCCCTTATTGTTGTACATTTGTGTTTCTTCCAGTTGGCCACTGTTAAATTGATGCTGTGACCATTTTAGTGCATGTAAATTTTTGGATTTAATTAGGAAAATGTCTTCTTGTTTTAGACTTTATTACTTTGATTTCCTAATGAGGTTGACCATCTTTTCCATGTGTCTGTAGTTGGCACCTTTAAGGATAGAGGCAGACATGTGAATAGATAGCAGAGTAAATGTTAAAAGTATCCTGGAAAGCTATAGGGAATAAATACAGTGGGATCTACCTTATAATAATTTTCTTTCCAAATGTCCAGGTTTCATGTTTCCAGCTATTCCATAGCTTCCTTCAATAGAGGGACTTTTGTTTCTTTGCATCCCCATTGGGCACAGAGTAGACAAAAGTTGATGTAGACCAAGAAGTGGTAGGGTTGACAGTAAGGAACATCACCAGGCCTGGGGTCCCTGAAGCACAAAGCCAATGTTAACAAAACCAGGTGACATGGGGGGCCTTTGATGTGATGGGCCCAGCTTCCTGAGTACCTCTTCCTGCATAGCACACTACTAGACCTTGAGGGTGAAGGAACAGGAGAGGCTGTAGAATAATAATGTAGTGATGCCCATCTCTGACCTCAGAGAGACATATGTGTAAGCTAGGCTGTTTTGGGGGTGTTCAGTACAGTAGGAAGTCCAAGAAGAGAGCCTGGGGACAGGGAAGGAAGGCTGCCTAGGATAGGTATAACAATAAATGTGACCTTCCTAGATGAAGAGTATTTCAATGAGACTTTCCCAGAAAGGAATAGAAGTAGGAATAAGTATGGGTAGGGGGAGGGGCTGTAGCTGTGGCCAGGAGCAGACATATCTATATCTGCCTGGGTGGTAGAATGAGTTGGGAAGATAGGATGGGAGCTGTTGGGAAGATAGGATGGGAGCTTGACAAAGGAGGTCTGCCAAACTGATGATGATAGACTTGATAATGAATTCGAGAGTCATGAGATATTCTTGAGCCACTGGGTGTTGTGGTAAAAACACCATTCTAAGAACATAGGTGTGGTCCTGGTCTATAAGGGTCTAAACTAGTGGAGAGGAGAACAAGATAAGGACCCCATCTAGGGTCTGATTGTAACCCACATGAGGTGATGGAGGCCTCTGACTATGGTTGGGTGGTGGAGAACAGAGGAACCCTAAAGACCAAACTATAGGATTGTTGTAGAGGGTGAAAGAGAGAAGACTCAGTTCCTGAGTTTGGACGTGAGTGGTTTAGTGTGACTCCCTCCCTCACAGAGCACATCACTGGTGAAAGTGTTTTTCCAAGTTCACCCAGCAGATGAGTGGCAGCGCTAGCCCCAGAAGCCTGCTTTTTGCCTCCTGGTCTAACACGCTGATGGTTGGAAGAAAATGAGATAGGAACTAGTTGGTTTAATATGGATCTTGTTTAAGTCTGAGATGATAAAGACCCCACTTAACAATCTGAATTCACTCTGACCTCACTTCTAATCATTTTGAGTCATTGTTTTGTTTCTTGAATATGTATGGTTGGTGGTTTTTGTTTTTGTTTTTAACTTATTCAGTACTGGCTCTTCGGTATCCTGAGTATCTTACCAGTTGGCTCTGTGGTATTATTATCGTAATGTTTAGTACCATCTCCATTTTGTGGATGAGTAAACGGGTGTCTAAAGTATCACACTCAAGGCAGCAGTAACCATAGAATCCCAGTCCTGATCATACCTCCAGGCCAGGCTAAGTGGCTCAGGGAGCTGTTTAGTTGGCTTTAGACCAGTCCATTTTGAGAACTTGGAGATTGGGCTTTTTTCTTTCATTTACCTTCTAGGGAATGAGCCCTGGCATTCCTCTTTAAGAGGATGATGTGAATGAGGAAAGAGCAGTGTGTTGTATGTAATTGGAGGCCTGAGAGAATCTGGGAGTTTGTGAGAGTCGTGGAGAGGAGAGAGTCATGTTTGTTGCAGCCTGGCTGCTGTGCTCCCTGTGCCGTCTAGAGGGTGAAGAAATATCATGGTCCATGTCACATGCCCCTGTCCCTTCCCAGAGGCACTGCAGCTGTGGCCAGCAGCCTGTGCTCTCCCTGGGTCTCCCAATGGATGCCATTTCTGAATGGGTACATCAGAGAAACCCTTCCAAGGACTCAAATAGTGGAGAGTCCAACCTCACAGTACATAATTGCAGTCACTGGCCCACATACTCTTCAGTGCAGTCAGCCCTTCATATCTGTGGGTTCCCCACCCATGGATTGAAAATATTTAAACAAAAGAACTAATAAGAAACAATACAATTTTAAAATACAGTATAACAACTCTTTACATAGCATTTACATTGTATCGGGTATTATAAGTAATCTAGAGGGCCAGGTGTGGTGGCTCATGCCTGTAATCATAGCACTCTGGGAGGCTGAGGTGGGCTGGTGGCTTGAGGTCAGGAGTTCGAAACCAACCTGGCAAGAGCAAGACCCCATCTCTACTATAAATAGAAAGAAATTAATTGGCCAACTAATATATACAGAAAAAATTAACCGGACATGGTGGCACATGCCTGTACTGCCAGCTACTCAGGAGGCTGAGGCAGCAGGATTGCTTGAGCCCAGGAGTTTGAGGTTGCTGTGAGCTAGGCTGACGCCACAGCACTCACGAGACATGAGTCTCACTTTGTTGCCCAGGCTAGAGTGAGTGCTTGGCACAGCCTAGCTCACAGCAACTCAAACTCCTGGCTCAAGCGACCCACTGCCTCAGCCTTCCGAGTAGCTGGCACTACAGGCATGCACCACCATGCCTGGCAATTTTTCTATATATATTAGTTGACCAATTAATTTCTTTCTATTTAAGTAGAGACAGGGTCTTGCTTTGCTCAGGCTGGTCTCGAACTCTGACCTCGAGCAATCTGCCCGCCTCGCCTCCAGAGTGCTAGGATTAACAGGCGTGAGCCAGCGCGCCTGGCCCAGAGCTTAATTATAAAGAGTTATTCTGGAACCTGACCTCGGGGATCACCTCCAGAAGTCATTTTGTGTTGGCTTTCTGGTCTTTTGTATTTCATAATGTTAGTTGGGGAAAAGTTTGGCTTTGCTTTTATCCCAAGTTACCTTTTGTTAGGCTTGAGATTCTGTAGCTACATTGTGTGGCACCTGTGCCTGCCCGCCACCCACCGTTTCTTTTCCACTTTCCCTTCATGTCAGTGAGACCTTGGTCAAGCCAGAAAGCTAGATATTTTGGACTTTGGTCTTGGCAGAAAAAACTGTACTAAGAAAAATTGGGAATGTGCAAGATTGCTTATCTATCTCTACCTTCATATAGTTGCAGAACTTTTACTTTGTCCCCCAAGTTCACAGGTAGTGCTGAAAATAAGAGCATTAGATGCCAAGATGGGCAGCCTTCACTATAATACAGACTGGAGACTTTTCTTTCTATAAGGCACAGGAGAAAAACCAGTTTTGAAAGTTGGGAGGGGTCCTTATTGGGTTTTAGAGAGGATCAGAGGTGTGTTGGGTTGGCTTTCAGTACTTGGTTCTGACCCAATCTTGCCAATTCAGTGAGCTTTGTTGCCTCATATCCAGGATGGCTCAGATATGTGACAAACATACACTCAGTCACATTACTGTTAGCCTATTCAAAATTGTGAAACAGCCCGGCGCTGCCTCAGCCTCCTGAGTAGCTGGGACTACAGGCATGCGCCACCATGCCTGGCTAATTTTTTCTATATATATTAGTTGGCCAATTAACTTCTTTCTATTTATACTAGAGACAGGGTCTTGCTCTTGCTCAAGTTGGTTTTGAACTCCTAAGCTCAAACAATCCGCCTGCCTGCCTTGGTCTCCCAGAGAGCTAGGATTACAGGCGTGAGCCACCACATCCAGCCTAGGTGCACTGTTTTTAAGTGTATTATCTCATGTAATTCTTACCATAACACCACAATCATTATATGTTCTAACATAAGGTACTTTTATCCCTGTTCCAGGTAAGGAAGTAGACATTTGCTTAAGTTTACTGCCAATAAATGGCAGGACCAGGATTATACCCAAGCATTCTGACTCCAGGGCCTGCAGTGTTAACTGTATCTTGGTTTTTGTCTTCCTCTCTACAGGCACCCAGACTGGCTGAAAATTTCTGTGTTTGCCATTTGGCCACTGGGGACATGCTGAGGGCCATGGTGGCTTCTG